CATGGCAATCTTTGTTAAATGCATTTTAATTCATTTTAAAAACAATGAGTTCACTATTTCATATAGAAATGGCCGCTTTGTGACAACGCTCCCCGTTGCTTCAGGATGCAGCGTCTAAACAGACGGCGAAGACGCGTACATTGCCATCGTTTCGGAGGTGGTATTTTCGGCTCATATTCTTGCACACTCACCAAATTGCTAAGGTCCTGCTTTTGCAAATTTGTGTTCACATTGACTTGAGCTTCAGCCGTGGCCATGTTTTTAATATTTTTAAAAACGCTTTTTATATAAAATTAAAAAATGAATTGGCCAGCTCGTTTACACCTCGACATTAAATATTGTCCGCGCGTGTTGTAAAGGACCGAAAATGCCTTGTAATCTATTGAGTGTTGTTAATCGGCAGAAGCTAACCAAATTCTTTTGGTGCCGGAACCAGTTCCAATTTCTTCAAGTAAATATTTTATTCATTTAAGTCGTTGTGGATGACATTGAAATCCTAACTTTGACTGAAATTAACCCAACATTTCAAGCAAAGCAACAGCAACTAATTAAAATAACATATGCTTCCATAGGTCGATAATCGCTTGCTAAACAATCAAGATGCAACCCTGATGGACTGTATATTTGCGATTGCAATATTCGGCCACACTCAGAGCAGAATTCGCAAACGCAGTGAACGGCGCACATAAAGTGTCTATTAATTCGGCTTCTGCTCAACTGTACTAGATAAACTAATTGCCATTTGCAATAACATCATTAAGCTAACCTTTTATCTTAAACGCCGCTCCATTTAAAACAACTATACCAGCATCATGTCGAGCGTGCCAAAGAGACAGAAGTTGGATGCTGTCGGAGATGGAAATACATCTGCCGGTCCCAACGAGGAGGAGTCGGAGGCGCTGGAACAAATCGATGCCTGTCAAAACGAGATTGACGCGTTAAACGAGAAAGCCAGCGAGGAGATACTGAAAGTAGAGCAGAAATATAACAAACTACGTAAACCGTGCTACGAAAAACGGAGCGAGCTCGTCAAACGGATCCCCAACTTCTGGGTGACTTCTGTGAGTATATATGCACATACGTAGAAAACCGGGGGCATCTTTATCTGTGGGCATGATTTGCATGTTTAACATGTGTAACTTTGAAATATCTTAGTAAAGACGTTTTTCAAGTGGCGGAAATGCTTGCCCAGCATTGTTAAATCAAAAAAACATTAATTGATTTTGTGTCTCTACTACATGTCCATGAAAAATTTCTCTATTCGAGGAACTTTTTCGTTTGTTCTTTTTCATCTTAGTCTTCTATGCATGCCGCCGCCACCGGTCGCACCGCTCTTTTTTTGTCTGTGTATGTGTGTGCGCTCGTGTGCATGTGAGGGCCAATGTATCGATAAATGCTGCAGGCGCAAAGCTTTCGCACTATATAATAAAATTAATCGGCCTTTTTAAAATGTATTTTAACACGTTAATTTTTTGGATTTACTAAAAGTGTTTAAGTGATTATAAATATACATGTTTAAATTTTGTACACGACGCTGTCGTGCATCGCTATCAATTGCACAATTGCGGATATATCACTCAGATTGTTTAGTTTTTACTCCCGGTTGCCTTCGATTATGTGGTAAAGCGCTAATTTGAGTTACATTTTTTAGTTCATCAACCACCCGCAAGTATCAGGCATTCTGGACGAAGAAGAGGAAGAGTGTCTGCATGCGCTAAACAAACTGGAGGTTGAGGAATTCGAAGACATAAAATCTGGATACCGCATAAATTTCCACTTCGATGAAAATCCATATTTTGAAAACAAGATTCTCACCAAAGAGTTTCATTTGAATTCAGCGGGTAAGTGCTCTTTAAAATATAACTGGTTTTTCTATATCTTAGTAATATATTAAAATCATTTAGCTGCCTCCGAGAATGGTGATTGGCCCGCGTCAACTAGCACGCCCATTCAATGGAAGGAGGGGAAGAATTTACTTAAACAGTTGCTAACAAAACCTTACGGCAACAAGAAGAAAAGGAATTCCGATTATAAGACATTCTTTGATTGGTTTTCGGACAATGCTGACCCCGTCAACGACGAGATAGCTGAACTGATAAAGGATGATCTTTGGCCAAATCCACTGCAGTATTATCTCGTACCTGATATTGAGGTGGAACCCGAAGAAGAAGATGAAAACGATGACAACGAAGAGGAGACATTTGAGGATGATGATGGAGAAGATGAGGGCGATGAAGACCTCGACGATGAAGGTTAGCTTAACCTGGAATTATATTTTAGGAGTCGTCTATCATGTTTTTTTTTATATTGCAGATGACAAGTAAAACCTTCAATCAATATGTGCGCAATTTGAATATTTTAACTGATTTCCAAATGTGCTAACCACTTATAACTATTATTTTCCGTATGGTTATGTCGGGACGGGATTATAAAGACGCTTACATTATTTCAAATGTTGCGTGACAATTGCAAAAACACATTTTTAGGCAGTTACACCGTTATGTTATAAGTAAAATCAATATGTATTTCCGAAAAACCCATCTACAAAACATCAGTTTTTTAAAATACGAATAAAGACGTGAATCTGAAAATCGATAGCATTATTGTAGTTGAGTATTCCAGCGATATATTTGGCCATCGCAATATTTCATGCCGCCCTGGTAAGTGAATTGGCGCAGTGGCAGCTCTAGCAAGGCTTAGTCAAATCAACCCTGTACGGCGCAGCTGCGATTTTTAGGTGAAAAATTCTGTGCATGTAATAATGGCCTCCGTTAACAAATTAGCACTTTTGGTAGGTTTTTAACAATATATATGAAATTAACTTTGTTTTAGATTTGCTAAAGCGGTGAAATATGAAATGTTTGTGTTTAATGCTAGCAATGATATCAAAACAAAACAATTATCTAACGCGAATTTGTTGGTTATGTAATTTGCAATTTTAACCAATAAACACAGTTTGATTGCGATTTAAAGAGTTTATGTGTAATATTGATATACATTCCATTCTTGCAGAGCCGCACCCTCAGCTCCGCTGCTTCGCAGCAGGTGGTCAAACCACCAATCCAGTTGTTCGGACTGGAGGGCCGTTATGCCACTGCTTTGTATTCGGCTGCCACGAAAATGAACCAGTTGGACAAGGTGGAAAAGGATTTGATCGCTCTGCAATCTACCATTAAAGGCGACAAGAAGCTGCACGAACAAGTGACCAGCCCCATCATCAATAAGAAAGTCATGGCTACTGCACTGCAAGAGGCTTCTACCAAGCTGAGCTTTGCACCAGCCACATCCAATTTGTTGGGTCTTTTGGCTAACAATGGACGCTTGAAGAAGCTGGATACGGTTATCAATGCCTTCAGGACCATAATGGCTGCCCACCGCGGCGAGGTTGTCTGCGAAGTGGTCTCTGCCAAGCCGCTGGATGCTGGCCAAAACAAGCAATTGGAGGGCGCTCTCAAGGTAAATACTCTAAATTGTAAATGGTTGTCAAATTTAACAGTTTTTGTGTTTGCTTTTTGTTTTTCAGTCCTTCCTGCAGCCCAACCAGTCGCTGAAAATAACATCTCGCGTAGATCCCAGCATTATAGGTGGACTAATTGTCTCCATTGGCGACAAGTATGTCGACATGAGCATTGCCACCAAAGTGAAACTATACACAGATGTCATTCAAACCGCTGCCTAAGTTTAAGGATTTACTGTTGATTTTGCGCGGCGTGTAAAAGCGAATAAAACTCTTGGGGATAGCTTCAAACTTTTCCAGCTATTATAAGACATTTCAATTTAATAATTGTTTCAAGTGCAATCAAACTATTAGTAATATGTACAAGACAAATGGTTAAGAGCTTGTCACTTTGGCGATTCCGGCTTCAAGATACTATTTTTACTCGATTTTTGCCTTTTGGGAGTAATTGACTGTTCAGACTGTCCATCAGTTGGCCTCCGCTGGTCATAGCCTTGCACGCTGTCACCAACTTTGACCCCAAAACTAACCGTTTTATCCCGGCATCCGAAATTGGAATACAGGTCAGCTATTTTCTGCTGCAGGCCCATACACCAGTCGTCTTGGCGGGCAATCATGTTTTCCAGTTCGTAAATGCGCTGTTGCTGCTGTTTGATTATTGCGCTCAACTCCTGACGCATCTTGCTCTCACATTCAGCACTGCAGGGCGATTGATCTGGGAGTATCAATGGTTCTGGACAACCGGGTAGTTCGGCCGGTGCGAACTTTGTCTTTGAACATTGCTCGCATTTGCATGGACACTTATCGGTGGGATGATTCTGACTTCGGCCCAGCAGTAAGACATCCGTGCAGTTGCGTAAAGTGCCAATGTCCCCACATTCCTCATTGCTTTTTTCCAGCTTCTGCAGTTCTTCCTCATTGTGCATGGGTGTGCGCAGTACAGTTACTTGGGTCTCATCGATGTCAGGAAACCTCGCACCGCCATCCTTATAGGATGATTCCCGTACATAGATTTCTTCATCCAATGCATCATCCTTCTTGACTTGATCTTCTCCGTTTTCAGCATCGATGCTCTTGCCGCAATACGGTGGAAGCGTGGCGCCCGGCAGGAGTAGCACATGTAGCGACGGACGACTCGGACTAGGAGATGCGGCCAGCGTCCCATGAACCTCCTTCCCGTACTTCTCCTTAATAAGTGCTGCCTGCTTCTGAGTACGTTCCACAAATTGTGGTATGTGCTCAATGCAGACACAGCAGCATTTCAGTATACTTTCCACGGATGTTCCGAAGGCGGCCATGCTCTGCTGCCAGATGCGAGCCTCCTTGATATTTTTGGGATAATGGCATACGCGATCAATGACATCCTCAGCGGTTTCGATGCCGCAGACGACACAGCGACGGCTCATTGGAACGGTTTAATTTTTACTTAAAATTCGTCAAATATATTGAATTTTTTTGGCTTGTTTTTTTTGAAATTTTATGGTAACTGTGATTTCGTCTAGACATTCGTGTTGGGGACACTTTCAAACAGTGCGATTTACGCCCTCACTCACTTTGTCTTGTAGCTGGACATTGTTGGTAGAATTCGCCGTGTTGGGTTCGGGCCGGTTCGAAGGAGCGGCATCCTGCTGTTCTTTGTAGCGATGCCCGCACTCATTCGAGGCGTTGCAGGAGCTTTCCTGCCCTGGAGCTCATTTAGTTTAGCCTGAATGCACTGCTGCAGTTGCCGCTGTTGGGTCAATAGGCGTTCGAGCTCATCCAAGCGTATTTCTTGCTCATTGCTAGTCCCAGATGCTTGTGCATTATGTTGGACCACCTGCTGAGCTATTTTTGCTGAAAGAGATTTGTTTTCTCCACGCTCAAAACATGGATCTTTCTCGGGCTGAGCTATGCCCAAAAGTAACACTCCCGTGGAGTTCTCATCGGAAAGTCCATTTTCCTCATTTGTTGGTTGGGCTAGCGCTCGACAGACTGTATAATTGGGCTCATCAATGTCTGGGAAGACAGCTCTTTCTCGTGTCAAGTCCGACTCCAGCACACAAATTTCCGAGCTATGCGATGGTTGTGCTCTAAAACTCGTTTTATTACAGTACGTGGGCAACATGGAGCCACCCATGATTAGCACACTGACCGGCGGTGATCGTGGCATGTCCGTCGTGGCCTTCCGGTTATGTTGAAACTTGTACGGCTGCAAGTTATGGTTCGGGATTGTTGAGCTCATCGGAGCTGTTTCGGCTTTGCGATTATCCCGCGGAGAAGTGTTGTTAATACAATTCTGTGGGCAACAAATACATTCATCTTCCTGTGCTGCTGGCACTTGATTAAATTTCTGGGATGGACATTGCATCGTCTGATCGCGCACTCTAGAAGTCAGACAGCATTGGCATTGTTGGTTTTGTTGTACCCTTTGCCGCTGTTGCTGTTTCTGTTGTTGTTGATGTAGTTGTTGTTGTATATGTTGTTGCAGTGCCCCCAGATTGTTGCATACGTTAATGGGACACCCGCTTGAACTGAATCTTGAGGAATCGAACGATTGCACCGCTGGAAAACTTTTGCGAACCTGTGGCGATTCAGTCCTGATTGGGCAAAACATTTGCTGACGGTTTAGCATTGGCTTTTTGGCTGTCAAGACTCGTGGACAACTAGATCCACATGTGCATGAAGGTGCTACTGCACTGCTACTCGTGGCAATCGGATGTTTCCAAACAGCTCTTTTGGTCTCAAAAGCTTGTTTTCCCGCATTTCTTGAGTCGATAGTCTCACAAGAGGATCCACACAGGCACTGATTGGCCTGTCGAGAGGTATATGTCTCATTGCCAGAAGTTCGTCTGATAGCCCGCGGACTGTCTAGCGTGTCCTCATCACTCGGATTTGTGGCCGCCACGTTGTTTACTTTGCTTGGGAGCCCCGGATGGCAGTTGAAGATGGCAGTATCAATATAGTTGGAGCGGTAATTCGTTTTTGGATTGTTCAACAATTGTGCTGATTCACCTATGCATAAGCTCCCTTTTTTCGTTTGCAGCTCGTTCGTCTGCATTGCTTTTACAGACTGAGTGCAGCTATGTGGAGCTTTCTTGCCCTGCTCCCCAAAGTAAAGAACGGCGTCCGCCTTGTTGAAAGTGACGCCGCGCCGCTGCTCAATCAGATCGTCGACCTTGGTTTCCTTCTGCTTTTGAATTTGCTGCACCTGTGATCGATTGATGTGCTTATTACAAACGCAACAGTGGTGGAGCAATGTCTCGACAGGGACAAAACAAGCTAGCATATTTTGCCAATCGACAGCTTCCTCCATATTGTGCGGATGGGTAAACCCAGATGTTGGCGTTTGCCCACAAACTATACAACGACGTTCCATTACAATGGACAGAAGACAAAATTTGTGAGGGCGCCAAAATGTTTAATTTTGATTTTATACTCGAGGACCACTTGATTAACAAACACAGGTATTCGAATAGGACAGGCGCATAATTATTAAGGACTTTAGCCTATAAAAGAAAACAAAGTTTTTTATTACATATATGTATTCATATAGAAAATGTATGTATCTTCACGCAGAAAATATATTTTTAAGCAGATTAATTTGTAAATATATTAATACAATAATTTCTGTAACCGGCGGCTACTTTACAACAAAGAATTCAAACAGAACTCATGGCCGCAACTGCCTGCCAAGCCGAGTGCTCGCGACTTTAACTATCGATTAAAAACTATCGATAACCAAATAAGTGCAGCATCAGCGATAATATTGAAGAACAAAAAAATTCGTCATCGTTCCGTTCGGGTTTGTAGTGTTTTGGTCGTTCGTGTGTACGGTTTGGTTGTTTAATTTTAAATACTCGCGGCGCACAGGCAACGAACTCAAGATCCATTGCGTCGATCCAATTTTAGTTTATTTGCTTTTGATGACTGAGTGATAAAAAGGCATTATGAGTTTAGCAGCCGTAGATATGGCCACAAATAACACCAACTGGCAGACAGAGGATCGTGGCGATATGGAAAAATATTTGGCCATGTTAGTTCTGGGGCTTGGTAGCCTTTTTTCTGGAATGTTGCCTGCCATTATATCAGCACGTAATCGACTGCGATTTCCACTAATAACCTCGCTGCTGCTATGCTACGGTGCAGGCATTTTGCTAGCGACAGCATTGGTGCATATTTTGCCAGAGGTAAGCCTGAAGGGCTCGTAGCTAATTGCAATTTGATAACCCTTTAACACCAACAGGTGCGCGAGCAAATGAACTCAAAGTTTGCAGAAGTTGCCATGTGTGGCGGCTTTTTCATAATTTATTTCATTGACGAGTTCATACACTACTTTTTTGGCGAGGCCATTCAGCATACGCATGCACCCACCTCTGCAGCAGGTAGCTCGAACCCAAACCATGCATATGGTGCAATTGATGAGCGCTCACCTTTAATAGGCGCAGATTCAATGTCGACTGCGACGCACCATCATCACAACGAAAAGTAAATCGAGTGTATATTGTTGTTCAATTGCCTAAATGTATTGATTGAACATTTGCCTTGCAGCGGTCACGATCAAATTAATCACCATCACAATTATGCCCCCGTTTCCGGCTGTGACGATGCCAGCGTGGAGGATGCAAATGCCCGTATTTGCCATACCAGCCATACGGAACCCTGTGCGCAGTCCATGACTGGCACATTGGGGCTTTTTGTGGCGCTCTCTTTACATTCAGCCATTGAGGGTTTGGCTATCGGTGTACAAAACTCGGCCAGCAAGGTTTGCGCGCAAGCCTTGACATCATTAAGTTTATGCTGCCAGATTATCATATTGAATTAGCTTGCCGCATAGACTAAATATTTATTCAGATAAGAGAATCAGTTGTAAATATTCGTACTTTGTCTGCTTTCTGTTCTAGGTGCTCTTTCTACTCGGCGCTGTTGCGTGTCACAAATTTGTGATGGGCTTCTGTCTGGGTCTGGAGTTATGCTCATATCCACGCGCGAACTTTCGTTCGCACTTCATTGGCATTTTAGTGTTTGCCCTGGGTGCCGTGTGCGGCATTGGTGTGGGCATGCTTATCGTTGATATTCCCGCCGCCTGGTCCAAAACTACGCTGCCCATAATACAGGCACTGGCCGGCGGTACTCTCTTCTATGTGACTGTCTGTGAAGTGATACCGCGCGAGAAGGCGCGCTGGCATACTAATTCGACTCGTCGCTGGGCGGGATTCGCGCAATTCGCAACAGTCACTGCTGGTTTTGCGACTATGTGCATCATTAACTTTTATCTCGCTGGTACGTCATGCCTAAGTCAGTTGGAGCTAATCAGTTTGTAGCTTTTACGCATTCACTATTTCCATTTCAGATGACTGAGAATCTCCATGGGCGATGCCCTGTTTTCAACACGTATCTATAGCACAAATGTTCTAAATGTAATTGTTGTCTTTTTTTAATGAATTATTAAGTGTCTTAGACCAGAAATGATTTTTTTTTTTACAAAAAAGTGCGATTTTTATAATATAATCGGTTTTAACATTCTTGTGAGTCTGTGATTATTGCTTAGCTGCAAAATAAAATAAACACCAATACATACATTTTCTTTATATCTACATTTATATTTTGTTGCTTTCTCCAAAGAATCTATATTTTGTTAGACTTACATGTAGTGGTAATCAAAATAACGTTTTCATGTTTTCTGATTCGTATTACTAAGTTCATATCAATCATAAAACATCTTCATCCTAAGCGATTTAATGTAATTGCGTACACATTTACTTTGCTTTTATAATTTTGTTTTAAACCAATTAAAACAACATCTTTGTAACTACATATTTATATATGTAATATTTTCAATATATATATATATATATGTATATAGACAAATTCTATATATATATATAAGTATGTGTATAAATATATATATGTGTACATACTAAAGTTGAATTGTTGGTGGTATAACGCAGCAGAAATAGTAAAACCCCCGCAAAGTGCGTATAATTTGATTTCTTGGTCTGATCTAGAATGCGACATACGAAAATCGGGATAGTTAAGCTTTTGTTTCTATATATGCGTTACATATGTATAATATACTATATTTATTTGTTTATAAGTATAAGTTGCGTGAATCCGGTGCAAATTCCCAACTAAATGTCAAAGAAACAGTTTTTAATTTACAATCGAAACCGAAAATCGATTTGCCGTAGATATTCATTGATTATACATTATATATATATATACATATATAATCGTGCATAAGCTACAATTCCCATGCTGATTTAACATTCAACTGTCATACTGTAGCACTGGCAACCGAAAACAAACTTAAAACATAAATAAATCTAGTAATTAGAGTTGCTCTTTCGCCTCAGCACTAACCCCATTCTCATCCTCATTGTCATCATCTTCGTCGACCCATTCATTCATGAGACTCTTTAATTTCTCCTGCGTTCCTGTTAGCGCCTGAGGCTTTCCATCAACGTCAACTGCATCGCTGGTGCTTGGTTTCTCCTCGGTTGCATCGGATACCGCTGTCGTCGTCGTCGTCGGCGAGCCTTCTGCTTTTTCCTCGTTATTATTTGCTGATAATTCCTCTGTAGCCACAACAGCTTTAGTCGCGTCAAGTTGCAACGCCTCTGATCCATCTACCTCTGGTAGCTGAGTTGGCGGCACCTCTTTTACATCTTCTGGCTGTTCTCTAGCCACCGTATCGGCATCAGGCGCATCCGCTTCAGCAATTAATTCATCGATCAACACTTTGCGAATATTCTCCGTTTCTAAATTGACATCATCAATTCCAGTGGGAGGGCCAGCTTCAGCAATGCTTTCTGGCGCGATCTCATTATTGGTGTTTTCGACTGCTTCAGCTTCGACTGATGTTGGCGCATCCTCCTTGATGAATTCCTCCTCAGGATCATCTTCTTTTTTAACCACAACAAATTCATCTTTAACAGACATCTGTTGCAATCCATCCACATCCATTTTTACTGCTGCTTCCGGCTCAGCTTGAATTATTTCAGCCGTGCTGGATGTGGCGGCTGCTGCATCTTTAGTAGCGACCTCTGTATCGTTGCCTTCCTTATGCAAACTCTCTAGCGCCAAGTCAATATCATCTTCTGGTTCAGGTTGATCTTCGGCGGCTTCTGCTACAGCGTCTGCTGCTGTTTGTTTCTCAGTTACAGGTTCTGACTGTACAATAGCTGCTAGTTCTGTGGTCGCGGGCTTGTCATCCATATCATCCTCATCCTCGTTCTCATCCTCGGTCCAATCACCCGTCAGCTCTTTAAGCTTCTCGCTAATGTCATCACGACGCTTTTCCACCTTTGGCTGTAATACAAATTTTTCGAATTAAAATTGATATGCATTGTGTGACAATTGCGTTACTTACTTCTTTGCTGTTCTGCTCTGTTTCCAGGTCGTGCTTTGATATTAAATTCTCGGCCCATTCAAGATTATCGATGGACTCCTTGCTCTCATCAGCCGTTTCGCTCTTTTTGCTGCTGCTCTCTACAGAACCGGTAGCGCCCAGTTCGCTATAAATTTGACTGTCATCGTATTCCTCCTCTTCGGTACCCGCTGAGGATTTGGCATCGCCTTCCTGCTTATCATCGACATCGGGCTCACTGAGCACCATGACAACACCGCCGCTGGGTGCGCCAGCTTGTTGCTGATTCAGCTGTGACAATATCTCCTTGCGTTGTTCCTCGGTGAGCTCCACCTCATTGCCGTCGGCACCGACAAATTTGACTTCCTGCTCCTGAGTCTGCGACTGCAGCAGTTGCTCCGAATCTGCATCTGCTTCCGTTTCGGCCTCTTCTTGCTCATCTCGGGACTGTTGCTGTACCATGGCACTGTTCGCCGGCAAGCTGATGTCGGATAAAATGCGTACCTTTTCCTCCTGTATTGGTTCCTCTTCAGGCTCCTCCTCCTCCTCTTCCTGGTCTTCATCGTCCAACTGTTCGTCTTCATCCTGTGAGCCGAGATATTCTTCATCGGTTTCATCAATGATGCCATCCTCAAGCGCCTGTGCCTTATGATAGCTCTTCATATGTCTGTACAGCTGCAGCTCCTGGGCAAACACCTTATTACAATAAATGCACTGCTGCTTGTTCTCATCCGTGTGCGCCTCGTTTATGTGCTGCTCCAGCTCGCTCTTGGTCAAGTACGTTTGGTTGCACATGGCGCATTCCGCAAAGTTGTAGAGCAACGATTTGATCTGATGCTCTGTGTACATGTGGAAGTGTAGCTCCCGATTGTTGCCGGAACGCCAACCACAATGCTCGCATAGCGCCGGATCAATTGTCTCCTTGTGGGTGTTGATCAAATGGCGACGGAAACCACGATATGATGGAATGCTAATTGGCCGACCATTAACGCCGCAACGCAGACACAGCCAAGGACCTGCGGAATAGGAACAGAATGAAGACAAGATATTTAGTGAAAAAATTGAATATGATGAGACATTTTATTGATCAATATAGATCGGCTCTTCCAAGATAACTATTTATATATCCATTTAATATCATCTTTTTGTTGACCGTATATCATAATTTAAAGGTATTTAACCTGGTTAAACGGTGCGGCAGATTCACCCTAAAATTACAAGAACTTGGACTACTATAATACTGATACTAATCGTTGTACAATAGCTGGCTATATTTCTTTAGGTGACTAAAATGTTTTCTTGTTAATTATTTAGTTGTTATTTTAGATCAAAAGACTTTCGCTTATCGGAGACTTTCGTATTTATGTATGCAAAAATTTGTTGTATACTTTTTTTTCTGCATCATTTTAAAGAGTGTGCGTTAATACCTCATGTCTGTAGCACTTACCTGTGGTGTTCTCAGCGCCGAGTGCAATTAGCGCATGCATTGTCTTGCTATCAATGCGTCGCTTTTGCGCGGCCGCTGCCGCAGTTGCTGTCGTAGAAGCCGCTGCTGCTGATGCCTGTGTTGCCTCTGCTGTTGGTGGCTGAGCCGTTGTCACTTTCTGTGCGGACTTTTGCTGCTGTGTGGTTATCATGGGTTTGTCTGGCTTGAATGAAACATGCAGCTTCTTGTGTGGCGAAGTGGCACTGGCTGGAGAACCTGCTGCTGCTGCGGCTGGTGCCGGTGAGGCACGTTTGACAGCGTTCGCTGCTTTATCGACCGGACTATTGGGCATTATTTTCAGTTTGATATTCTTGTGTCCCTTCACAATATGTGGATATTGTCGCAACACCTCGGCTATGATTTTAGTATGATTCAGCTTCGTGTTGGACGAATCCTTGACGATAATCGTGGGTGTTTGGCTCGGCGAATCCTGCTTGAGTATGATGGTTGTTGTGCCATGTTCCATTTGTGTCTGTGTGCCGGATTGTTGAACCTGTTGCTGGGTTTGCTGTTGTTGCTTCGATGTTGATGGCTGTGGCGGCATATCATCATCATCATCGTCACCGGTGTGCACGTCATCGTACAGCATCATGTTGTCATATTCGGGATCGCCATGGTCACCATATTCGGCGGCGATTTGTTTGCGCATGCGCTGCTGTTCTGCAAACTCCTTGACCTCCTCCAAACTTGGTTTCTTTGACGGTGGCGATAAAAGGCTGGTCTGTGCCGGCCTCTTGTTATTGTTGTAACCTTTGCGGAGCTGCTCAAATGGCGAGGTGGGCTCCTGTTTGACAAATGTAGTCGTCGACGCTGACTCCATATACTGTGTGCGATTGCTTATGCCGCCGGTGCGCAGTATTGTGGGTGTATTCACGCCACGTGTTGGTTGCGCATTCGTACGCACTGTGTTGCTGTTGCCTGGTATGGCACCAATACGATTTTGTGGTGTTGATACACGTTGCTGTGCCGCCATGGCATTGCCGCTGGGTACCATCGGGCGACGTCGTATACCCTTCGGACTGGGTGGCTGTCAATAGTGGAGATCTGGTAGTTTAGTTATGAATTAGATTTCTAGATTTGCAACTCTTACCCTTTGCTGGCGATTCACATTCTCCATGGTGCGACGATGGGCCTCAAGTAGCTTCAGCAAAACGGTCATGTTCATCTCTTTGGCGGTGCGCAACAGTTTGCCATACATTTTAAGCTCAAACTCCAGTGTGCCCGTGTACATAAAATTGACAATGGGCACCACAACATCCGCTTGAAATTCTGCCGGCATTATGAGTGCGTCGTCAATTATTTCGCAAGTCTGCTCCAGTACATTGAAATAATCGGTGCAAGCGCTTAAGACCAGGCGATGTACCTTCAGTTGTGAATTGTCCCGAAACTGTAGCGTTAAATCGCAATAGTCCGTTTTATTGAAGAAATTCTGGAGCTTCTGCAGAAAGAAGACGCCCCAGTTGTCAACTTTCACGGACTTCACTTCACCCATATTGTTAGTTCTCTTTCAAATAAAATGCTGTATTTTTGAAACGCGGCCTCCCCGTCGCGATGTCGTCGTCGTCTTCGGTTGTCGTTGTTTGGCTTTTCTAGCGTGAGGCTGGCGCAACTGTACTCCGTTGGGAGCAGGAAATTTCAATTTAGGACACGATTGCAACACAGCGTTGTTAAATGGAATATGAAAAACATAAAAAACCATATACTAAATCAAGTGAATTAATATTATTGTTTAGTTCTTGCACAACTAAAACGCGCTCTACTGGCGTCGATTGATTTTCAACAAACATTAACTGCCCGTGGCGCGGCAATGCAGCTCCGATATGTTTGTGTATGTATGTGTGCGAATGCTAGAGATGGGTGTATGTCGGTTAGCACGAAAACTTAAGCTACAAAAAAATCGCAGTTGACATTTTCCATTTAACGACTTCGAATTAAAAAAAATAACAAATTATATACTTTGCATAAGTCAACTTAGTCAATAGAATTTCTTTTTTTTAATTCTTTATGTATATATGTTTCGTGTGTTTTGCTCCCGCATGTCACGCTCTCAACTCTAGTATGTATGCCACATATATATGCTTCTGATGTGTATGTGAAATGCAATGCACAATGCGCCTTGCTTGCACACATTCAAGACTAACTGCTTTAATTACCTATACAATGGCTTTTATTCTTGAATGCGGTGATATCTTTCTATTTAACAAATTGGCGCTAGATTCTGTTGATTTTTCACACACGAAACGTTTATTTGCACACACAATCGTTATCGCTAGGCTCTACAATATCGTCATTATGCAATTGTACTTTGGAATGTATGATCAAAATTTGCACAAATATATTTTAGTTTTTATTTTCATTATTTCGTATTAAACATACATTGATTTTTGTTGCACACTGTTTTTGCGGACAAATTTGTAATTTTCTCCGTGAAACAGAAAAAGATGGCGTCAGAGTGACCTTATTGAAAATCCGCACTTCTCACCACCGCCACACTTTCGATAATTTCCTAAGAATCGATAGCAAATTATTGTTTAACCAAGAATATAATATTCGGTGAGAAGTTTTTTGTTTACCTACTATTTTAAACGTAATAAAATAATTCTGGCAGTCTGTCATTGCCCACCCACAATGAAGTAGATATTGAAAGTAAATTACTCTCTACTTTAAAAAACTATCAAGGCGCCAAAACGCAGCATGTGCTCTATTAACGAAATCGATAACAACGGCTGCTATCAAGGTAGCAAAAACAAACTTGTGTGTATTTATATATAAAAACTTATTTAATTTATTTCAATTGAACCTGAGTAAAATGAGTGCGCGACATAGAGGCAAATCCAAGCGTGGGGCGGGCGCAAGCTCCTATCGGAACGTTAAATCAAATCACAACTGCGAACGCAATTTCGCCCAACAGGCCAACGAACTTGCCAATTGTAGTGCCACCGATAGCGACAGTTCCGAATCCGAATCGTCAGGTGACAACTTGGAGGGCCTCGGTCAGCCACCAGATTTTTGCAGTAGCCATGTGGGACCTGAATCACTGTGATCCGAAAAAGTGTTCTGGCAGGAAGCTGGCACGTCTTGGACTTATTTCTAATTTGCGTTTGGGTCAAAAGTTTCCAGGACTCGTGCTCTCACCGATTGGTCAGTTGTGTGTTAGTCCACAGGATCGCGAAATCGTCAATGCTTCTGGGGTGGCTGTCATAGATTGTTCCTGGGCCAAGCTGGATGAGACACCGTTTAATAGAATGCGCAGTCCCCATCCCCGCCTGTTGCCATTCCTGGTCGCGGCAAATCCGATCAACTATGGAAAACCCTGCAAGTTAAGCTGTGTGGAGGCAATTGCAGCAACTCTCCATATATGTGGCTTTACTGAAGAGGCACGTTGGTTTATGGGCAAATTCTCCTGGGGTCATGCGTTTTTGGAGCTAAACGAGAAACTGCTCAATGCGTATGCGGCGTGCAAAAGCAGCGATGAGATTCTAAAGGTGCAAAACGAATATCTGGAGACGGAGCAAAAGGAGCGCGATAAGCCAAGGGATCTGAAGGAGTTCTATCCCACAAGTAGTAGTAGCAGCAGCGAGAGTGCAGATGAAAATGAACAGCAAAACTAAAATAATTAAGTTTTTACAAGAGGCCAAGAAGATGATTTATTTGTTTATGCAAATTCCCTATGGTTGACTTTCATTATATATTACAAGCCAGTTGTGCAAAGCAACTCTCGAATTAAAGCCTAGGAAGCAGCAAAAATGTCCAATTCAAATAAGAGCTGCTTGATTTATGCCGGGTTTTATTAATGCATCTACTGCGCATTACGCACGTATTCCGGATCAACATTGATAAAGTTTGTCATATTAAAGTACATTGCGCTATTCTTCACCAAAAACTTGAGAAAGTCATGCAGATGGGCTAAAAGCGTTTGCATAGCCGGTTGATCAAGCGCCGAATAGCTCAGCATTGAACCAAGTCGCACAAACAGGCGCAACAAATGAAAGGAGCCATACAGTTCGGACAGGGGCGTATCTGGATGCTTTTGCATTATGTCTGCATATTGGGTGCGCTCGAATTTGTACAGTAGCTGCGAGCCAAGCATCACATTGAAGTACTCGATGATGCCGTCGAGCACATCGTTTATGGCCACCTCTTTGCTGGCACTGGTCGACTTCACCGACTTTTTGTGCGCCAAATACTGGTCAGCTATCTGCTGCACTGTCACCTTGGCAGGCAGTTCCAATAGTTTGTGTTCACGCACTACCGCATACCAGTCGTCGGTAAGATAATGCTTGAGTTCATCGGGT